TTTGTAATTCCAGAATCTGTTGATATGAAAATAAATACCTATAGTAAAATACTAGTACAGTAAATTGTGCTAAAATTAATAGCAGTTGGAACTTACCAAAGCCGGTGGGCGAAAGTGCAGCTGAGTACAATTCTGGTTGTTACGCTGAGTCCCTGTCCGAAAAGAGCGGGAAAAAAACGTATCGGGAAAATGTCCGCTGTCCATTGAAGAGGCAGGAAAGGAAGCGCATCAGAAAACATATGCGAATGGGTGGGAAAAGTCGAAAAGGTGCGAAAAAGCGAGCCGCAGACTCTGGGAAATGCAGTAAAAAAAGGAGTTTAATGAATAAGGTGGGCCAGTGTCTTACTCTGAGGAGAGAGTCAGAGGCCTAAAATATAGCTAGAATCGCAGGAAACCTGCGCGAAAACCCACTGGTCATCTACTGACGTCCCGGTGGGGATTTTGAAAAAAACATTGAGGAAAAAACACAAATATGCACAAATAAAGGTAAAAGGCAGAAAATAATCTGACTGAAAAGTTGCAAATTAGGACTGAATTAAACAGTGATAAAGACAGTGACTGGCACAATCTAACTGGAAATGTAATATAGAATGGGTCTATATAAATATACCAAAATAAATATCAAATAGTGATAGGTGAACTGTTATAATATATAACAACAAGTATTACTGTATAGCAATATAATTGAAATAGACTCACCTGGGAGGTAAGCAGCAAAGAAAGAGGAGTTGAGAGGAGCTTGATGACATTATATGATATTGTTGTACACTCTGATTGGTTAAAAATTTTTTTACATCATTGTTAACTATTTCTTTGCTGCTGGGAGGTTCAATAAAGAAAGATTAAGCAAACTCTTCGCAAAGGTTCTGGCACTCCGACTCCAACCAACCCTGCCACAATTGATCCACCCAGACCAGGTGGGGTTCATCAGCAATAGAGAAGCCAGAGACAACACCACCAAAGTAATTAACCTGATACAGGCGGCCAGGAGCCAAGAGACTCCTGATCTCCACAGACGCGGAGAAGGCGTTTGACAGGGTAGATTGGACCTTCCTCTTCGCAACACTACAACACCTAGGACTGGGACCGAACATGAGGAGATGGATTGAAGCCCTATACAGCGGACCATCCGCACAAGTCTACGTGAACAGCACATTATCTACACCATTTCAGATACACAACGGTACCCGGCAGGGTTGCCCCCTCTCGCCTCTCCTGTTCGTGTTAAGCCTAGAACCTTTCCTGAACGCGATCCGCACCAGACCGGATATCGGGGGCATAAAAGGCACATGGGGGGAAAGCAAAAATTACTCCCCCCCTCCTGGAACGCGTCCTCAAAGACCTAGCAGAATGGGACGTACCACACATCATCTGGCTCGGCAGAGTGAACGTCCTTAAAATGAACGTCCTCCCGCGCTTCCTATACGTGCTCCAAACGCTCCCGGTACTTATCCCGCAAGCCTTTCTGGCCCAGGCTCGTTCAGCCCTCACGAAATATGTCTGGCGGAATCGACCAGCCAGGATAAGATACGACATCCTTACAAAAGCCAAACCGCAGGGCGGACTGGGACTCCCGGACCTGACCAAGTACCAACAGGCTACCCACCTACAACGTATAGCTGAATGGACCCTGGGGACAAAAGACAAACTCTGGATAGCCATAGAAGCCAGCTTCTCAAAAGACCCTCTGAGCTCGCTCCCGTGGCAACTCCCAGGCCAGACGAGAAGATATGACACCAGACACCCCACGATAATGGCAACACTGAAGGCGTGGAGCAGGATGGCAGGGAATCAGGACCTCGCCCCACCAGTCTCCCCTCTATACCAACTCTCGGGCACAACACAATTCCACATGATCAACAACTCCCAGACCTTGACTAACTTGGGCCTTCCATTCCCGTGCAGGCTACAACACGTCCTAGTGAATGGGACCATTCCCCCGTTAACGGAACTGCCCACACCCACCCCTCCTGACCACATGACTAAATTCCGATATCACCAACTGGGGAGCTCACTGAAGCGAATCCCCAATCTACCCTCGGCTGCTAGACCCCTGACCACGTTTGAGGCCATCTGTACACAAGACGCCCCCACGCCGCACGCCATATCACTCCTGTACCGACTACTAAACTCACCACAGGGAGACACCCGACTTCCCTACTTCACCAGATACTGGGAAAGAGACCTTGGGCATCCGCTGACCCAAGACCAATGGACCACAGCATTCACGTTGACACATAAAACCTCCATAAGCACCAGATACCAAGAATCGGGATACAAAATGATATCGCACTGGTATAAAACACCAGAGAAACTGGCCGCTATGTATGACACAAGTGCACCAGAATGTTGGAGATGCGGAACTGAGCTGGGCACGCTATACCACATCTGGTGGACATGCCCGCGGATTAAACCCTTCTGGCAGGAAATACACCAGGTGGTTACAACGCTCACAGACAACGCCATAGAACTCACGCCAGAAAACTACCTACTACACCTGACTCCTCTACAACCCCCCGCCTACAAAAAAACGATCACCCCGTACCTAGTGAATGCGGCACGTAGCCTAATCCCAACATTCTGGAAAAAATCCATAATACCAACCCTGACGGACTGGATAACAAGGTTAGAAGACATAAGAACTATAGAGGAAATGATCCTGACTGCAAAAGGGAGACCCCAGACATACCTGAAGACATGGTTCCACTGGCTACAATGGCTAACCACTAGACAAAACCCAGGAACACACCCACAACGGATGGACAACGACGGTTGAGGGCCTACGGATCACAGGACAACACACCACGCAGACCAGGAGACCACGGCACACACACCTGGAGACAGGGCACCTGAGGACCAAGGCAGCGACACCCGAAGACCGCAATGGTAACACATGCAACAGATTGTGCCGATGGGGGGCCCGGGCGCCGGTGGGGCGCGGGGCGCGGGGCGCGGGGGCTCCTGCGGGGTGACCCCACCTCAAACCCCCCCCCCCGAGGAACATGACATACTCCCCCACAAAACACTAAGACAGAACGAACTCAGACATACCACCATAGGGCCATGCTATACCACACAGAACACCCGTCCCATCCCCACGGTCCTAACCTTCACAAGGCACAAGAGACACCATCACGTCCAAGCAGAGAGGAGGAGGGAGGACACCCAAGATCTCCCCCCCTACACAACCACACGCCACCTCCGCACCCCCGACGCGCACATTGTCCCATGGGTCGAGACACGAACCTGCCCTGAACCAACACTGAACCCTGACCGTGGACATGGAAGGATGAGACCGGGATCCGGGGTGACTGAGACCGGACTCTAGGACCAGGGCACCACGCTAGATAAGGGGAAGTTGACACTACCTATAGAAGCCCGCCAAACGAGTCCCCCACCCATCGGGACCATAAACCATCGCCCCCAATCTACTAAACCAACACCACCAGCGACACACGCACAAGAACACATCCCCCACACTCACAACCACACGAAGACATACAGATAGCCCGACTGACCCCAACCCGGAGACAGCCTCAAACCGAGAGAAATAACACAAGGGCGCCACGGCACGGGTTCTGAACACAGACGCTCATACAAGGCAACCAATGGGGACGGACCGCCTTATCCCGCAACAAAATCTGACCTAGATACATTATATAGCACCCTAACATCGGCTAACCAATTCCTTACGGAAGACACGCAATGGCACCCACTGTGCAATATATCGTAAAACAATATCACCATAGTCGCTACGCCCTATGAGACCACATACCCAATCTGCTTAAGAAAGGCACAATACAAAACAAGATGCCGGCCTAAAAAAAAAAAACACAGGGACCATGTGTTATAAGCCTCTGCGTAGGCTACTGCTGTAAAACTACTGATGACACAACCCCACATCCCAAACCACTTACTAAGTATACAACACTACCCCTGCGTTGGTAAACTGCTCGCAATCAGAGGTTACGAAATGCCCATCATTACCCAGGTCGGAATGACTACGAAATATGTCATTAGCCTTACTCTTGTCTGTTTGACGTCATCTGCCTCTGTGTAGGCAACAATGCACCCTCTTTTCAAATCTGTTGTATGTCTGCTAACATGTTGCATACGAAAAAAAAAAAAAAAAAGAAAGATTAAGCAAATATGAAGCCTCCTGTCTTGCCATAAAATTATAAAGCAGACCAGAAAAATTCTGCAACTAAAATTAACAGTTTGTCATCTGTCCTCTATTCCAGGTCTAGTAAATAAACCTCAGTGTTGTCTGATTATTGGTTGCTGAATGCATTATTTTATATGAAACCTCATCAAAGCACCCTTACACACACAGCTGTGTGTGTGTGTATGTATATACATACATATATATATATATATACACACGGCGTGTGTGTGCTTTAGGGTGCACACCCTTATGCAATGGGCTGCGCATGCCTATGGTGCTGTCCCAGGTCTCCCAGTGTCAGAGTAAGAGACAGGACAGGAGAGGTAGGGATCCCATCAAGTGAGGGCTGACAGCGTTAGGCCTGGGGGGCAAATCCAGTCAAGTGGCCCATCGCACCAAGAGGAGAGTAAAAACACGTTTCCCATGAGATTGAAGGGAGGGTAGTCACCTAAACAGACACACACTAACACACACACACACACTCACTGCCAGACACACTGTTACAGGCATACTGACTCACACATACATACAGGCATACTGGCATACACACACACACACACACACAAACTGGCACTCCCACAGAGACATACTTGCACACACACACACACACACACACACACACACACTTTACACTTTTAAAGGCAGCTTCCCACCTTTGCTGGTACCTTTCCTGAGGTCCAGTGTGCTAGCTAGGCTGCTTGCTGTGTATGGGCCACCCGGTGGTCCCCCTTAGTGTGTGGGCCCCAGTGCAACCGCAGTACCAGCACCGCGGGTCCATGTGGGGGGAACCAGGAGCTTTAATTTGTCACTCTACCTTGTGCATGTTCTCGCTCCTCGTCACTCCCCACTAAGCAATACACATGGTTGAAAGGTGTGTGGTTTCTTTGTGTGATTGTACTGTTGCTGAGTGAGTGTTGCATGCATGTGTGTAGTTGGATGAGTGTGATTGTGTGGGTGTGTGAGAGCACTGGCGGATCCAGGGGGGGGGCAACGGGGCAATTGCCCCCCCCGAGAAATCCGCCGGTCTCCCTCCCCTGTCAGCACATGCAGGTGCTAGCCCTGCAATGTGCCTGCGGACCGGAGGGGAGATCAGAGCTCTCCCTCCCCGGTCCGCAGACACTGTGCTGACAGCCGGCAGGGGAGGGAGAGGGAGGACCCGGGAGCTCAGCCTGCAGCTCCTCCGGGTCCTCCTCTCGCGAGATTTGGAGCGTTGCCGCGGTTACCATGGCAACGCTCCAAATCTCGCGAGAGTGAACTCTAGCCCGGAAGCGTGGGCTAGCGTTCACTCTCACCACTGGGACCACCAGGGAATCACCACTGGGACCACCAGGGATGAAAATATGTCCCCCCTCCTCCTCAATAAAGGTAAGAAGGGAGGGGGGACATAGAATATTTGTTTTTTTTAATTAAATAAAGATATAAATTATAAAAAAAGCCCCCCCACCCTTAACACACACACACACACACACATAGCCCCCATACTGCCCCCCCATACACATACTGCCCCCCCATACACACATACTGCCCCACATGCTGCCCCCCCATACACACATACTGCCCCCCCATGCACACATACTGCCCCCCCATGCACACATACTGCCCTCATACACACATACTGCCCTCATACACACATACTGCCCCCCATACACACACACTGCCCCATACACTGCCGCCCCATACACACACATTGCCCACATTCACACACA